GCAGTCTGTGGGTGTAGGGACACCCACAATGATGTTAGGGAGGGAATTCCAAGATTTTGACCCAATGACACTGAAGGAAAAGCAATATAGTTCCAAGTCAGGATAGTGAGTGGCTTGGAGGGGAACTTGCAGGGGATATTCTCCTGTATCTACTGTCCTAGTCCTTCTACATGGTAATGGTCTTGGGTTTGGAATGTGCTAAGGAGCCTTGGTGAATTTCTACAGTGCATCTTGTAGATGGTACACACTAAGCATTACTGGTGGACGGAGTGGATGTTGATTGATCAATCAAGTGGGTTGCTTTGCTCTGGATGGTGTCAAGCTTCTGAAGGGTTGTTGGAGCTGCACTCATCCAGGCAAGTGGGGAGTATTCCACCACACTCCTGACTTGTGTCTTGTAAATGGAGGACAGACTTTGGGGAGTCAGGAGGTGAGTTACTTGTAGGGTTCCAAGCCTCTGACTTGGTCTTGTAACCACTGTATTTATATGACTAGTTTTTTTTCTCTATTCATTTGTGGGATGTGGATGTCACTGGCTGGCCAGCATTTCTTGCCCATCCCTACTTGCCCTTGAGAAGGTGGTGGTGAGCTGCCTTCTTGAACCGCTGCAGTCCTCCTGCTGTGGGTTGATCCACAGTGCTGTTAGGGAGGGAATTCCAGGATTTTGACCCAGTGACAGTGAAGGAACGGCCTTTACATTTCAATGAGATCAACTCTCATTCTTCTAAATGCCAGTGAGTAGAGTCCCAAACTGTTTAGCCTTTGCTCATAAGAAAATTCCTTCATACCAGGGATCATCCCAGTGAACTTCCCTGAATTGCCTCCAATGAAATGATATATTTCCTTAAATAAGGGGACCAAATGCTCACTGTGCTCCAGATGTGGTCTCACCTTGTACAGTTGCAGTAAGACTTCCCTACTCTTATACTCCAACCACCTTGAAAGAAGGGCCAACATTTCATTAGGAGATAGTAAGAACTGCCAATACTGGAGTCAGAGATAACATAGTGGGGAGCTGGAGGAGCACAGCGGGCCAGGCAGCATCAGAGGAGCAAGAAAGTTAACGTTTCAGGTCAGGACCCTTCTTAAGGGTCCCGACCCAAAACGTCAACTTTCCTGCTCCCCCAACATTTCATTAGCCTTCCTGAATACCTGCTGCCTGTGTGTGAGCTTTCTGTGTTTCATGCTCAAGTCCCCCTGGAAGTCCTTTGGTGTTGCAGTTTTTCCCCATTTAAATAATACTCCCTTCCAAAATGAACAATTTCCCATCTTGTCACATTATAGTCCATTTGCCAACTTTTTGCCCACTTACGTAACCTATCAATATCTCTGCGTAAACTGTTTGTATCCCTCTCACAACCTGCCTTTCCACCTATTTTTGTGTCGTTTAAGACAGGGGCAAGAAGCAATTCCTTCTCAGAGAGTCGCGAGTCTTTAGAACACTTCTTCAAAAGAAAGTGGAAGCAGAATCTTTAAATAGTATTATGATGGATGTAGATAGATTCCTTGATAAGCTGAGTGTGAAAGGGTATCAGGGATAGTGGGAATGCAGAGTAACCAGATCAGCCACGATCTTATTGAATTCTGGTGCAGGTTCAAGAGGCTGAGTGGCCAATTCCTGCTGCTAATTCATATGATCTGGGCAACAAAAAGGCTCGCATTTACATAGCACTTTTCAACACCACTGGACATCTCAAAGCACTTCACAATCAACAAACTACTTCTGTAGGGTACTTGGGATGCCAGACTAAGAAGCTGTCAGAAGCTGACAGAGGACCACAAGCTCATACATACAGTTGATTAACAATGTGATCTGTAAAGCAACTTTCCACTGATAAAACATTACCCACTACTAGAATAAAAACAGTCTTAAACAGGACACAATACATGTAACTGTGTTTCATTTATACCCACAGACACAACATTGTTGAGACTGAACAGTACTCTGCACCAATGCCAACAGAAATGTCCCATTATTTCTGGTAATAGCATGAATTTCAACAGATCACCCTAAGTTAAGATGGGATTATGTAGTTCAGTAACACAAAGTGTTTACCTGGGGTTATTTTTCAGTGTATTTACTAGAAACTCATGCAGATCAATTCCGGTGGAGTCTGTATATTCTTGACTTGAATCTATTAAAAGAAAGACAAAATGATTGCATTAAAAAATGTAGGGTAACCTTGGAGAAAATATGCAAGTAGCTTGTTTTTTAAAGAGCTATTATGTTCCTTTTTTTCCCATGTGAACATATTTAGCTGGAAAGACAGCAATTTAAACGAACGTTACTGTTCCAAGACCACTCCTGATGCTGTTTTTGCATTGGCTGACAGGATTTAAGGGGCAAGAAATGAGAACTGAGCCATTTCATGGCACTACATTTGAACTTCTGGCAGAGTCATGGCTAACACTGTAAGAGTACACCCAACCAGATATGGATTTGTGACCAATTTCCCATGGAACAAATTCCCCATTTTGGTTGCTCTATCCATCAATTGCATTTATATAGCATCCTTTTCAAGGGAAAACAGCCTGACGCACTTCACGTAGTCATGCTCAGAAACAGGTGGACATCAATCCAAAGAAGGAATCAAGAAAAGTTTGTTCAAAGTAGGTCTTAAAGAAGGTCTTAAAAAGGAGGAAAGTGTGTGGAGGGACTTATGGCTGGAAATTTAAAGCTTGGTAGTTGCTCAGGAATCAAGAAGGACAAGGAGGACAGCTTATTTTCTTCACCAAGGGACGGGGTGTAAACTAAAGTACTATGGCAATGTTCTCTCATACCTCCTCATAGTTTAACAGTACTTGTCAGTTTCAAAGGAGCTCATCTGCTGTTTCTGCAGTCTATAAAAGCAGTACAACATCACATCAGGCCTCATCAATAGTTTCGCTGAGAAGAGACATATTGCTGAAACTTTTCATCTTGCACTCATCAGGCAAACACAAGAGTGCCAATTCAAGAATGCATTTGCCCTGATGAATGTAAGACAAAAATGTTTTGATAGCATATTGTTATGATCCAAAGTGATGGTAATACCAAACAAGTCAGATCCCAGAGTGAAACCTGGCTTGATGGATCATAAGTTTTACTTTTCTTTTTGTCTACCATGGTGGTTAGGAATTGAACATAGTCACCAGACACTGCCAATGTACTTTAATAAAAGAACTTAAAAGTTTATTACACAAAAGAAACACGCAAACTATATTATGCTCTGCAAGAACTATTAGAATAACTCCATTACATACATCAGGAAGAAAGACTTATCCTTCTTAGCACATCACTTGGTTTACAGACACCCAAATGTTAATGAAGAGTCTCCCCCATCTCCACACTAAAGCTACTTACTCAGCTGACATGGCTGCAATAGCTTTCATTGCAGATAATTCTTTGCATTTACTGGATGATATTTTTGTTGTTTAATGTCTCTCCCTGAGATGCTTGAAACAAACTGCTAACTCAACTCACTTATTACTTACCATGGGTTCCCTCAATTGATGTCTTCAACAGCCTTGTAGGAGATCTTCCTCTATGACACCACAACCTCTGCTTCTGGAGCTTTCCCCTTACTAACCTCTAAACTTATCAGGTCTTCTGCTTGAAGACTGATACTAACAGCACCTCTGCTGTTTATGGACCTTCTTCTGCACCAGCCCCCTCTCTATGAGCTGTAAAATTCAAGTCAACAGAAACTTGAACAATTATCTCAGGTGACTTACTGGTCAGTTAGCTTAAGTCACATGACCTTTTATAAACCTTGTTTTAAGCTCAAAGTCCAAAATTAATTTCTGACCTTTTTAACAAAAGTCACACCTCCACTGAACTGAAAACTAAAATCCAGCTCCTTCTGCACTTTAGAACCCAAGTTCTCAAATAGAAGAAATACATTATGAACCTTCATCACAATATTCAACCTCCGTGACAGTTTGAAAAGTAGGAGGTAAGTTCCTTTCATGAGCCAGTAGCTAAGTCAAATTATACAACTGAAGAAAGTCATCAGCATGATTCTGCATCCCAACGTTCTGTAGTAGCAAGCCTGTTAAGGTGGTTTATAGCAGGAAAACTAAAATGCTCAACTATTCTGCCGATTATTTGCTCCAATATTCCAACATCTTGCCCATTACACAATTCTGCCATTTTATACAAAGAATAAAATCCAAGGCGGCTATGATGACGAAAGCAGTCAACATATTTGTGATGTTCTAGGATGGCTGTGCCGAATTAGCCAATCTCGCCAATCTCAGGTCGGGGATGGACATTTTATCTCAACCTGGACTAGAAAGAGCTATGTTTAAAAAAAAATCAGTTAAACTGCTTCTCAACAAGATTTGTTGGAAAATCAGCATTTGTGTAGGGCAGCTGTGGAGTCAGCTGGGATGTCCACCATGGCAAAACAGCTTAGCCATATGTTTGATGCTGAATTTGTCAGGTCAGGAAACAAAAACAATATGGTGATTAAATGAAAACTGAAAGAACTGCAGATGCTGTAAATCAGGAACAAAAACAGAAGTTGCTGGAAAAGCTCAGCAGGTCTAGCAGCATCTGAAAAGCGAAATCAGAATTAATGTTTCGGGTCCGGTGATCTGAAGAAGGGTCACTGACCCAAAACATTAACTCTGATTTCTCCTTCACAGATACTGCCAGACCTGCTGAGCTTTTCCAGCAACTTCTGTTTTTGTTTTTGAATATGGTGATTAAATTAGCACAGCATTCCTGGGCTAAGGAAGTCAAAGAGAACAAAATCAGCTAGGTTACTCATTGGAAGTGCCACAGCCTTAACGGTAAAAGTGGAGAAAAAGAGCGAGCAGGTGTGATAATATTAAGTTAATAACTTGCACCTACGTAGTACCTTCAATGTGGAAAACCTCCCAGGGTTTTTTTACAGAGCTACAATGCAAACAAAAAAATGCACATCAAGCCAAGAAGAGGGGATACAAGGATGAGTCTGCAATAGCTTGGTCAAAGAGGTGGGTTTCCAGAGTTTTTTAAAAACAAGAAAAGCAGAGAGGTTCAGAATGGAAATTTCAGGATGCAGGGTATGGTTGCCAGGGGTGCAGCAAAGGCAGTGAAAGGCTACTGAAAAGCTTGGCGCAAGGAAGAGAGAGCTGCAGGTGAGAGATGTTAAGGCTTGAGGTAAGGAGATTGGGGGGGGGTGCGCCGCAAGGCCACACAGAGATTTAAACTTGAGAATGGGAATTTGGGAAGCGAAGAGCTTAATTAGTTTAGGAGGACCTGATACAGGTTAGGATACAAACAGACTTTTGCACAAGCTAAAGTCTATGGAGACATGCATACAGGCCAGGAAAATATCAGGGTAACCAAGGCTATAGGACGTAACAATGACACAGATGAGGATTTCAAAAGATGGGGTAAAGTCAGGTGGTGTTACAGAGGTGAAAATATGAGCTTGTGTGATTGAGTGGCTGTCCAAAGTTCAGCTCAGGATCTTGCTGGATTCCAAGGTAACATCAATATCACAGATTCTCTGACAGTCTTGCATAAGAAAAAATCTGAACACTGATTAAAAATCTACCAGTGATAATATAATACAAGAGTAAAAGCTTTGGAAAAATTAAGGTTTCCCCAAATGGCAGCTATAAAGTATATATGCATGCAGAGCTAACGATAAAAGTGTGGGTGTAAACACTCTCAGAGACTCATTCTGTGCAATAATTTAATGGAAGAACCAAAATTTTGAACACGACCTTTGTAACAACCTTTTCTCCAAACTGTTTATGAAATTTTGAGAGACAGAGTGAAAAAATGTTTTCCATCATCAGAACTCTATCAATCTGCCTTCCTGATTTGCTAATCAAATTTTCAAAGTACCAAAACCTTGCATTAGAAACTGGCTCATTACATAGCTTCTTTTGTTATTTTTAACTAATCCTCCTTTTGTTATTAAATAAATCAACATAACGCTTATTGTGCTTTTTTTTGTGCTGTCAGTTATTCCAGATCTGGAAAGATCTTGCACCATTCAATAAGACACAACCATTCACAAGGGTTTGAGGTAGAGGCTCCATTATACTGTGTACAAAAGTACTTTATTGGGCCTCTGGGTTAATATCTCTAACACTGCATGGAAATCTTTCATGAATCTTCAATGTCCAATTGCTTGTTCTTGGATTTTAAGTGAATTTCATGAAAACATTTGCTGTGATGGGAAGATCAACAAAACTAGTAGAATATTGAACCATATGGTCAACAGAACAAATACAAGTTGAACCTGTTTATTTGCTGCAACCTTAATTGTTCACAATTCAAACAAATTACTTGGATGAAGGGACAGAAGGTATGGTTGCTAAACTTGCTGTTGACACAAGACAGTCATACAGCCTAACATCAGTAGTGGGGAAAATTCTCAAATCCATTATCAAGGACTTTATAGTGGAGCATTCGGAAAGCAGCGGCTGGATCAGACAGAGTCAGCATAGATTTATGAAGGAGAAATCATGCTCGACAAATCTGTTAGAATTTTATGAAGATGTAACTAGCAGAGTTGACAAGGGGAAGCCAGTCGATGTGGTATATTTGGACTTTCAGAAAGTGTTTGACAAAGTTCCACTTAAGACATTATTATGCAAGATTACAGCACATGAGATTGGGGAATTGTATTGAGATGGATAGAAAACTGGTTGGCAGACAGGAAACAAAGAGTAGGAATTCATGGGTCCTTTTCAAATTGGCAGGCAGTAACAAGTGGGGTGCCACAGGGATCAGTGCTGGGACCCCAGCTAGTCACAATATATATTAATGATTTGAATGAGGGAACAAAACATAACATCTCAAAGTTTGCAGATGATACCAAGTTGGGTGGGAAGGCGAACCGTGACAAGGATGCAGAAATCCTTCAACATGATCTCCACAGGTTGGGTGAGTGGGCAAATCAATGGCAGATGCAGTATAATTTGGATAAATGTGAGGTGACTCACTTTGGAAGCAGAAACAAGAAGGCAGATTACTACCTGAATGGCTTGGGAGAGTGGAGTGTGCAGTGGGACCTGGGTGTCCTTGTGCACCAATCGCTGAAGGTAAGCATGCAGATGCAGCAGGCGGTAAAGAAGTCAAATGGTATGTTGGCCTTCATTGTGAGAGGTTTCAAGAACAGGAGCAGGGATGTGTTGTCGCTGTTATACAGGGCCTTGGTGAGACCACACCTAGAATATTGTGTGCAGTTTTGGTCTTCTTTTCTGAGGAAGGATGCTCTTACTCTCGAGGGAGTGCAGTGAAGGTTTATCAGGCTGATTCCAGGGATGGCAGGTCTGACGTATGAGGAGAGATTGACTAGGTTGGGATTGTTTTCACTGGAGTTCAGAGGAATGAGGGGGATCTCAGACAGACTTATAAAATTCTAACAGGACTGGACAGGGTAGATGCAGGGAGGATGTTCCCGATGGTGGGTGTGTCCAGAACCAGGGTTACAGTCTGAGGATTCAGGGTAGACCATTTACGACAGAGACAAGGAGTCTGTGGAATTCATTACCACGGGAAGTAGTTGATGCCAAAACACTGAATGTGTTCAAGAAGCAGCTAAATAAAGCACTTGGGGCGAATGGGATCAAAGGTTATGGAGTAAAAGCAGGATTAGGCTATTGAGTTGGACAATCAGCCATGATCGTGATGAATGGCGGAGCAGGCACGACTGCCTCCTGCTCCTATCTTCAATGTTTCTATATTTCTATCTACAGCATAGAAAAAGGCCCTTTGGCCAATCAAGTCAAAAGCAACCAGCTGATTATTCTATTTGGACTATAGCCTTTATGCCTTGGCACTGCGGGTTCATATCTAAATATTTCTTCAGTGTTGTGAGGGTTTCTGCCTTTCCCATCCTTACGGGCAGTGAGTTCCAGATTCCCAGCAACCTCTGAGTAAAACTGTTTTTCCTCGCATCCCCTCTAAACCTCTTGCCCCTTCCCTTAAATCTATGCACCCTGGTCATTGATCCCTCCATCAAGGTGAAGCCTTTCTTTCTGTCTACCCTATCTAAGCCCCTCATTATTTTATACATCGCAATCATGTCCCCTCTCACTATCCTCTGCCTCAAGGAAAACAACCCCAGTCTGTCCAATCTCTCTTCATAATTAAAACTCTCCAGCCCAGGCAACATTCTGGTGAATCTCCTCTGTACCCTCTCCAGTGCTATCACATCCCTCCTATGATGTGGATTCCAGAACTGCACACAATTCTCTAGCTGTGGCCTAACCAACATTTTACACAGTTTTTTTACACATAACCTTCCTGCTCTTAAACCCCATGCCTCGGCTAGTAAAGGCAAGTATCCCACATACTTTCTTCACCACTTTACCACCCTGTCCTGATACCTGAAGGGACCTGTGTACATGCACACAAAAGGTCCCTCCGATCCAAGTGCTTCCCAGGGTCTACCATTCATCATGTATTCTCTTGCCTTGTTTGTCCTGATCAAATGCATCAGCTCACATTTATTAGGATTGAATTTTGGAGGGTCATGGATAGGGTAAATAGACAAGGTCTTTTTCCTAGGATACAGTCCAAAACTAGACGGCATGGACTTAATGTGAGAGGGGAAAGACTTAAAAAGGAGCTGAAGGGTAACTTTTTCATACTGGGGTGATGCGTGTATGGAACGAGCTGCCAGAAGTGGTGGAGGCTGATACAATTCCAACATTTCTAAGCATCTGGATGGGTATATAAATAGGAGAGGTTCAGAGGGATATGGGCCAAATGCTGGCAAATGGGACTAGGTCAGATTGGGACGTCTGGTCGGTGTGGACAAGTTGGACCGAAGGGTCTGTTTCCGTGCTGTGCGACTCTGTGACCCAAGACTCTATTTACATTCATTGCACTTTTGTCCAAAAAATGCATGAACAGACAAAAAGAAATGCTTTTCACGAGAATCCTGCCTATGTGATCAGTGATTTCTTCCCTAAGATATTTACAGTAAATAAGCACAGCTTTTATCCCCCCCACATAAAAGGAACACTCAAGATTTGATGGGCAACACTTTTAAACTTACATTAATGCAAAATGTGAAAAGCCATCATTTTTTCACAATAGATATGACGACCTGTTTTAAACACGGAGATTTTAAGTGGTGGGAACGGTATTGAGTAAATGGACATTAGTCCATTTTTGCCCCCTCCCTGCCTGAGTTAATCATCTCTCATCAAACAAGTTTTCCAATCCTGTGACTACATCCAAAGCCTTAGCAGGCAAATTGATCATCGGAACATTATGCTATTTTAATTTGATATTCATGCACAAATTCTTTCTAGCAGTGTCTGTAGGGTGATCACAAGTGTAGACTGCACCCCGTTTTTATACCTCCCTTCCCCATCAGTGATTAGTCACATAACAACAGCACTAACAATATCATCCAAGCTGAGCTCAACTAACTCAGCACAGACCAGGCTATTTTGTAATAAAAATGGCTCAGTAGGAGACTACTCCATGCATTCACCCAGTGTATCAATGGAGACACCCTTCTTCACCAATTCAAGACAGGCATTGGGTAGAAAACAGTGGCTTATGGCAAAAAACCACTTCATTTCTGTGACATGAGCTCAAATCTATTTGGGACTGATGGGATCAAGGCCTCTTTCTGCCTGTTGCAAGTGCCCTTTGTGAAATGAGATGGTCTCAGACAAGTTCCAAAAAAAGACTACCCATGTTGCAGCACTTATGGATACTCACCAAAAGATGATAAATGACAAGGAGGATGGAAAATACCACAATAGTCCAGTCCAAGGAGCTCTCATAAAATTGGTTCAGGACTCATTTGTGTAAGTGGAGGGATGTTAAATCAGACTGGAGATGCCTGTCACAGGGTGGTAAAAGCAGTATAATTCTCCAGAACAGATATGCTTATTCAATGGCTGCAAAGCCAACAAAAACATCTAATACACTCTTACTTAGAGGGGACAGGGGAGGTTAATCATCAGCCAAAACCTTGTTACACAATACTGTTGTAGAACTGAAATGAAATGAATCCAATCATCTGATATTTATTTAATGAGATCTCCCTTAACCAAGCAAATCCATTTTCATTACTGGACTTCTGATTTGCCTATGATAACAGAAACAAAGGGAACATCTGATAATAGCAGGTCTTGAAACATTTCAACACTACTTAAAAGGACCAATCCCTAACTCAGTCACCCAATTTTTATGAATTCCCCGTGGCTTTGACTAAACGAGTTCTGCTGGAATAGTACAATATATGCAAAGATAAAATCATATTCTTATTCAGACTGGCTTTGAAAACACTCCACATATTTCCACAAACACCTTGTATATCTAATCAAATGGATTCAGGTGAGTTTTGTGATTTTCACACCTCATTGTTCCTTCAATTTTCAAAACTGCAATTTTAAACGAGGTTTTATTTCTCCACAGTTGACACAGAACTTGAACATATTGTGAACTGTGAAGATGATACTGACAGAATTCAACAGGATGTAGACTGGTGAAATGAGCAACCATGTGGCAGCTGAAACTTAATTCAGAGAAAGTGTGGAACCATCATTTCAGCTATAAGATCAAGGAGAGGTAATATAAAAGGTACAATTCTAAAGGGGGTACAGAGATAGAGAGATTGGGGGGTAAATGTCCCAAACAGTTGAAGATAGCAGGGCAGGTTAAAGTGATTAAGGCGGCCAATGGCATCCTTTGTAAATAGACACAAAGAGTACCAATGTAACAAAGCTATGGTGAACATTGGTTAAACTTCAATTGCAATATTATGCCCCATTCTGGATACCACACTTTAAGAAGAACATGAGGCTTCAGAGAGTGTGCAGAATAAAATTACAAAAATGATTCCAGGAATGAGGAACTTCAGTTACATAGTCGGGTGATTGTTCTCCTTGGAGAAGGGAAAGGCTGAGAACAGAGATAACACAGTTGTACAGAATATTAAGGGGTCTGAACAGTGTAGATAAGGACAAACCGGCAGAGTGGTCAAGAACCAGCCAGTGATCAAAGATGATTGGTAAAAGAACCAAAAACAATCTGAAGGTTTTTTTTTTAAAATGCAGCTAGTAGTTAGTATCTGGAATGTCATTTCTGGAGTGTGTGGTGGAGGCAGATTCAATCATACTTTCAAAGGGGAATTGGATAATTATCTGAAGAGAAAACTTTTGCAGGGCCACACAACTAGTGGCTGAAACTAGCGAGCTGCACGGACACAACAGCTCAAATGGCCGTCTTGTGTTGCAAATAAACATAAGTTTTAGATAGTGTGATACTATTTACAAACTCCTTCTACTTATTCAGTGTTGTCAAACTTTGCACTAAATCTTCAGCATTAATCAGACAGGAAGTTAGCTTCTGACCTCTTGACAGCATTTTTCTTGGTACTTTCTCCAATTTCTCTTTCTTTTCCTTGTCTTCTTTCTCAGACCCATCCTTTGAAGGCCTTTCTTCTTCTTTATCAGAAGGGCAAGTGAACTGGAGTTGAATAACATCCTGTAAAACATGGTATAGGTGGAGGTTGCTGTCAAACTTTACAGAGCAATACAAGCTAGTTTGTAGGCATCCAACCGTGAGATACAATAAATCTCTCCACCAACAAAAAGGACAGGACAGTTTCCCAGATCACATTCACGTTTATAGCCAGCTCAGGAAACTAGAAACATTAGGGAATGTACTCACAGATCTCTCAGACATAGGGGCCGTGGGTGGCATAATCAATAAAAATTTGGTAGCTAAAATCCTCTAGGTTATTTGACCAGAATCTGACAGGTGAACTTTGGGTGGTGTGCAGTACCAAGTAATATCAGCAGAAAAATCAGTTATGCCTCCTAACAATGGCTAAAATAATTTTACTTGATGCATCTACTGGTTTTTTTCTAATATTCGTTCTCAAGATGAGGACGTTGCTGACTAGGCCAGCATTTATTACCCAGCAGCTAGGAGTCAATCACATTGCCTGTGGATGTAGAGTCACATGTAGGCCAGACCAGGTAAGGGGGAGGCAATGGCCTAGTGGTATTCTCACTGGACTGTTAATCCAGGGACCCAGATAACGTTCTGGGTACCTGGGTTCGAATCCTACCATGGCAGATGGTGGAATTTGAATTCAATAAAAAAAATCTGGAATTAAGAGTCTACTGATGACTATGAATCCATTGTCAATTGTTGGAAAAACCCATCTGGTTCACTAATGTCCTTTAGGGAAGGAAACTACCATCCTTACCTGGTGACCTACATGTGACTTCAGACCCACAGCAACGTAGTTGACTCTTAACTGCCCTATGGGCAATATATGCCGGCCTAGCCAGCAACGCCCTCATCTATTGAATGAATTAAAATAAAAGACAGCAGTTTCCCTAAAAGTAATTAGTGAACCACATGGGTTTTTCCAATAATTGACAATGGATTCATGGTCATCATTAGACTCTTAATTCCAAATTTTTATTGAATTCAAATTCCATCATTTGCTGTGGCAGCATGTGAACCTAGTTCTCCAGAACATTACATAACAATCCAGTGACAATATCACTATGCTATTGCCTACCAAGATATCACCAAGCTTGTTTCATGACTGATTGTAGTTACATTCGTTACTTTTGACAGTTCTTGACTGGGAGAGGCCACAATCCATTTGCTCTGGTGCTCCATGCCAGCAGGTTCTGAGAAATTCAAGTCGAATACATTTTGATGTACACAGTGACGTCCCTTTTTCTCTCATTTTATAATTCTTTGATTTTCCTCCTCCTCCAATTAATTTCATTATGCATAATACATCACTTTCGATTCAAGTCTCCCTGACAAATACAGACCCAAATCCCAAGGCAACTGCCATATGACAGCAGTCCAGTGTGTGTGGACAAGGCAATGCACGTATCGACCAAGACCATTAGCAGTGTTAATTAGCCTAACATGGTTAATGCAGTGCTCAAAGCCTTTGGCAGAATAGGAAATCAACACTGCATTGATCTGCAAAGTAATGTCATTATGTTAGGGTCGTTTTTTTCAATAACTATAAACACATGAAGGTTGGACTTCATCTGAATCTCTTTATTTTCAGCTAAATAAAGAAAAAGTTGGGTGCTGGTATGAGCATAGTCAGCAGCAAAAAACTATCACCAAACCAATAAACAAAACGTGAACTTTCATGTCCAGAATTGGCAGCCTAACAGTGCAGTCACAACAAGTTGGACTAACTAATCTGATCTAAAATTTCTAAAGAATATTCATTGTAATGTTCCGAAAGGAACAGAAAACTTGGCTGAGGAAACCAGTGCTCCATCAGGCTTCTATATTAAATAAAAGCAACATGCCACAGGCAAAGTTTCTGGTGATTAAAAAAGCCCAGCGAGTTAGTGCATGCTTTCCCTCCCAAGAATCCATGACTGGATTAACTCCTGCAGTGTGTGCAAGTTGCTGAATGAAGAAATACCATTTTACGCACTTTCAGCAGAATCATGTAGCCCGAGGTCAGCAGTGGGCATAGAAACGAGCACCATTTCCTCTCTGGGGTAAGTCAGCTTGTATAACCAGGCTGTTTTCAGCTTATAAGAGCATGGGGAATCTTGTGATATGAATGGGCAGCAAGTCAATGCCCTCATCATTACCTTTAAAGGATCAAAGGTCCAGATAGACAATAATTCCCTGCAACCCAGAAGCATCACTCAGGCTGTCGGAACGAACACCTGCAACTAAATGCTCTGGCCCTTCCACCCTCCCTGGTCAGTGTACCTTCATTGGACAGACAGGTTTCCACTATTCTCCAGCCTCCTATACCATGACTATCATACTCCAGCCTCCTTCCTTTCTCACTCATACTTCGTGCCCTTTGCAATTTACTGACTACTACCACCTTCTCTCAATCACAGCCTGGCACAGACAAGTGTCCCCCAACCCAAAAAGAGGGCAAAGCAGCAGCTGTTTACTGCAAAATCCAGCAGGTAGAGTATCTTGCTTGCTGCACACCTCTTATATAGACGTGAATCAGAAGGCATTTATTGCTCGCTCATAGAGAACTTAGTTGTCGAGTAACATAATTCTGGCCAACTGGCATTTTAATGAGCATGCACATGCAAATGTATATAAAAGGGCTTCGCAACGCTTGTTGTCAGGAAGCTCGACCCACCTTTATAGTTCTGAGAATTTAATCGCTGACCTGATTTTTGGCCTCCTCCTGCATGATCGAGTCCCCCATTCTCTTTGCTCGTTGCACCTGGGAGTGGTGCAAAATTCTGCTCTCTTAGTCTATTTATGGAATGGTCTTCTACTTTGTACATTCAACCTCTTTCAAACTGTGTTTCTCCTTTAGCTTTACCTGGATTTCCTGAGGACCATCACATGTGAACGGGTGAGAAGACTCTTCACACACAGCAAGGCTTCGTACCAATTTTAACTTGGAATTGGACTGAAAGGAATAAGAAAAGAATCCTTTCAAAGGTACTGAGAAAACACTGGAAAATCTGAGGCATGCCCTGCTTTTGGTAATCCTGGCTGATTCTTTTCCCCCCAGTCATAGCTCATTCTTTTGTTTATTCATGGAATGTGGACATCACTGGCAAGACCAGCATCTATAAGCCAGCCCTAATGACCCTTGAGAAGACAGTAGTGAACCATCTTCCTGGACCACTGAAGTCCACATAAAATGGATACACCTACAGTGGTTTTAAGTAAAGAGTTCCAGGACTTCAACCTAGTGACAATGAAAGATGGCGATGCATTTCAAAGTAAACATGGGACATGACTTGAAAGGAAATTTGCAGGTGATGGTGTATCTGCTGCCCTTGTTCATCTAAACACTTATGATGCTTCAGAGAGTTTTGACACTCTGAAAAGCTCAGCTGGGATTTTGGTGCTCAGTACAGTATTAGCACCACACAATGCACTTAACCACGGAGCCGGGGGTAATATGAAATCTCACAGGTCATTTACAGATGTCACTCAACAGCTAATGTTCACAATGGCTCCCTGGCTGTCAGCTCCTTTCCTCACTGTACACTTCACTTGGTACTTCAGAACTCAACTATTGCTGAAAAGAAGTTTTCCATCTTGAACTCATTAGAATAGAGGCTAGAATAAACTCTGATCACTTTACAGCCCTTTCATCACTGCTACTATGCCTTGCTATGACTGTGAGTGGTCAACTGGCTTTACTGGCTTTTGACGTTCAGTTAGTCTGTTCCTCATCAGAAATTCAATCCCTGGGCCAAAGGACATTTATCAGCCGCTTCTGGACCTCAGTGTCTTGCACTTCACCATCAGCTTTCTGACTTGTATCTGATTCCACAGGCATCTTGCATCTTCATTGACATGTAAATCCTTCTATCAGCATGTTTTCCAATACTCTACTCTTCAAACAGTTTCTGGACTTTACTGAACAATAGTTTGTCAGAACTTCATGCTGACCCACCTTACTTCTGTCAACTTGACCACAGAACAGGACCCTGAATTTAACTCTGGATTCCCTCTTATTGCCCAGTCTATGTTTTCCAATTACTTCCATTATATATGCACCTTAATGACTGCTGTGTAACCAGCCCTATGCAACTTTTTTTTTTCTGAAGAAGGGTCTAGGCCCGAAACGTCAGCTTTCCTGCTCCTCTGATGCTGCTTGGCCTGCTGTGTTCATCCAGCTCTATACCTTGTTATCTCTATCTTCTATGCGACTTAAGTCTCCCAATCATTCATGTCCACCTTTTGTCTATCACTCTGTATCAGGTCCACTTCTGCATTTCTTTCCTTCTTCAAAACAAAGTAATTTCTTCTTTGTACCCTCCTAACCCCTCTCTTCTATCTTTGTACCTCATTTCATTTCTGTACTCTCAGGTACTCTACCCTCCCAGTTCCCTACTCCAACCCTTCGGCGCTCTTCGACCTTCCTGCTCTCTTGGCACTGTAACAGGTTTGATACCATCTTAGATAAGTCTATACTTCTTTAATGAAATAAATGAAAAAAGACATTAATTAAGTAAATACGACTGTACATGTCAAAGATACTGTCTAAGTCAGTCAGCAACTCACAGAGCGAGTTGTGTGTCTGGACCATAGACAATAAGTTGTAGGAGCAGAAATGGGCCAATTGACCCATCGAGTCTGCCTCGTTATTCAATGAAATCATGGTTGATCTGATAATCCTCAACTCCGCTTCTTACCTTTTCCCCATGACCCTCAACCCCCTTACTGATTAAGTGCAAGGCTGCAGGACATGAGACTTTCTGGACGGCAAGACTGTCCCAAGTAAACACAACTGCGGGAAATATTCGATTTCAAACTCTTCAGCTCAGAGCCTCGGAGCTAAAGTTGATTCAGAGAGACACTATCACATGCGGGTAGGGGAGGAGTTTCTGCATTATTTTATTCAGAATTCAATCAAAGGAAAACAGAGTCAGGACAGGGATACAAAACCTGGATGCTCAAAATTTGAAATAAAAACAAAAACTGCTGAATACTTAGTAGGTCAGGCATCATCTGTGGAGAGATTGAGTGAATACTTTAGGTCGACAATGACACTTCATCAGATGGGTCATCATCTAGCTGAAACGTTAACTCTGCTCCTCCTTCTATAGACACTGCCTAATCTGCTGAGTAGGTCCAGCATTTTCTGTTTATATTTCAGAACAGGGTGGGTATAACTGACAGGAGTCTGGGTAGTAGGGCTTTAGGAAGAGATTGAGATGACGGCCCTGCAAACATTGGCTTGGTCCAACAAGAACAATTATTTTATCTTGTGCACTCAGGGAGGACAACCACCATGCAGGCCAAGGAACTGGGGTTCAGAACGCTATCAGGGGAAGAATAGGGAAACAGTTATATAGAAATGTGCCAGTAACTGGACGGCAACTATATAATTTATAATTTGGAGGACATATAACATCCTCTAGAGCCAAGAATGAGAATCCTGAAAGGTACTGCCTATCTAGTGAAAGAGTAAAACCTCTCATGACAGCCAGATAGGAACTTGGAAAGTGAAAGGGCAAGTCCAGTTGTATAGGAATAGGGAGGAGGTCTGCTGAAAAGTATCAGGAATTAGAATCCAAATTACAGGAATTAATTGCGGGGTGGAATGCCGCAAGAAATGTAAACAGCCTAAATAAAAACAATACAGGCAAGACAATAAGCAAAAATATAACCTAAGAGCACATACTGATTGCATGGGAATTAAAAGATTGAAAGAATGAGAGTCTAAGAAGATGCCTAAACATAAAATGAGAGGAATTCCTATTAAAAGGAGCTAAATGACTGTACAGCAATGTACAGAGTGCCTGTAATAAAGCAGGGAATCGGGAAGCAGTCATATACGGGGAGGAATAGCAGGGGTTACTGAGACATGGCTGCAGAAAAATCAAAACTGGGAATTAAACATTGCAAGTTACAGCATATTTAGGGAAGAGTGAGGGATAAATGGAATAGCTATACTTATTAGGAACAATATAATAGAAGCTGAAAAAAAAAGAAAGAGCTGCAGCTATCATGAAGCCAAAAATAGAAACCATATGGATGGAGATGAAAGATAATCATAGATCAATCACAGTTATGGCTGTCGTCCACAGTCCATCTGATAGTGGGTGGGAGGGAGAGGGATAAATTTGCATTAGAAAAATTAAAAAAAATTGTGGGAGATTCCAATTACACTAATGTGAATTAGACAGAAGAGATGGGTAAAGGGGTAAGAAAATTAAGTTACTACAAGGTGTACAGGATTCCTTTCTATCCTAGAAACCCCAACAGGGGCAGATTCATTACTGGACCTAGTAATGGGAAATTAACTAAAGCAGATGTAAAAGTAGGAGAACACACAGGCAACAGTGACCACAATATTATACGCTTTTAAGATGATCATGAAGAAGGACATAACTAAGACAAAAACTAAGTCAATACATTGGAAAAAAGCTGTGTTGAAAGCCTGATAGGACTTGTGAAAATTAAATGGCAAACAATAATGTAAATCAGCAGCAGGAAACATTTAGATCTGTGTTTAACAGAGAGCAGCAAAATTATAATCCACTAAAAAGAAAAGATCTAAACATTAGTGGAATCCCATGAATGAATAAAGACAAAAATGGGCAAATAAGGTTACGGAAAGGGGCATATATGAAGTCCAAATGGAGCGCAGGATAAGAGACCAAAATGAAGGGATTAGGAAAGAAATTAAGATGGAAAAAATTAAAAAGGCAAAGTGAACTATGAAATTAAAATACCAAAGAATACAAAGCAAAACAGTAAAGACTTTACAGATACATAAATGTAAAAAAAAAAAACTGATGAGAATTAGATCATGAAGAGAGTGGCAGGGTACAGGTAGGCACACCACTGAATGAAGAAGAATTACATTTAAAATTTCTAAAAAAGGATGTACTGGATGAACCAAATGTATTCAAATTGGAATAAAGCCGTGGTAGAAATTGATTGAATATACAAATATAAGGCATTCCTGAATGAGTACAATTCATGGTTGCTTGCAGTTGCCAGTATCAGTAAACAATGCCCATATTTAACAGAATCCACAGAAGAGATATCGGAGGCATTACTCCCTCTTATTAAATGATTGATTCGGAAAACTTCCAGTGTCACAGGGATGGCAGGTACTTAAGAAGGGGACAGAATATGCTCAGGGAATTACAGACCAGTCAGTTTAACATCAGTAAGTAGGAAAAATAACAGACAAAAACAGAAATTACTGAGGAAGGGGCAGTGGACCTGAAACATCAACTCTAATTTCTCTCCACAGATGCTGCCAGACCTGCTGAGCTTTTGCAGCAATTTCTGTTTTTGTTTCTGATTTACAGCATCCACAGTTCTTTTGGTTTTTGTTAGGAAAAATAATGGAATCCTTACTAAAGGAGAGAATAGATGAACATCTAGAAATGAATATAATGATGAATAGACACCATGAAGTTCAAAAAGGAAAGTCATGGTTGACCAACATTACTCAACTTTTTGAGGAAGTATCAGAGAGTAGACAATAGTAAAGCAGAAAGTGTAATTAATCTGGATTTGCAAAAGGCCTTCAATAAGGTGCCCCACAAAAGGTGAATGAATAAATTCAGATGTAGAGTAGACTCAAGGGACAAGGGCAGAATGGGTTACAAGCTGGCTTCAAGACAGAAAAGAGAGACTGGGAGTTAAGGATAGTCATTCAGAGTGGCAGAAGGCAGAATGTGTGTTTCACATGGATTAGTGCTAGGATCACTGCTATCACGGTTTACATTAATGACTTAAACTTCTAACACAGTCTAATACAGTTAAATATGAAGTAGTACATTTTTAGAGAAAAAGTGGGGTGTCACTTAATACTTGGAATATTCAAGTCTAGGTCAGGTAGAGGGACAAAATCCGTACATAATAAAGGATATATTATACACCAGTCACTAAAAAGTTGTGCCAGAGGTCAGTATGGCAATGAGGAAAAAAAGAATTAGATGTGCACTAGACTTTTTTTCCTACAGGAACAGAACTAAAATACAGGGATGTCTGGATAGTCACCAAGAAATCCAACAGGGAATTAAGAAGAGACTTCTACACCCAAAAAGATAGTGAAAATGCGGAACTCGCTCACACAGGGAGTAGTAAAGTGTATAGTATAGACCCATTTAAGGGGAAGCCACTGAACAAGCAGATGAGGGAGAAAGGAATAGAGAATGATAATGGGGGGATCACAAGAGGAAAGATGGGAGGAGGTTTACTCGGAACACAAATAATTGAATGTGCAGCACAACATCTAATACTGAAGAAACTTTTATTTTTTGAAAAGTTCATTCACAGGACATGGATCTCACTGGCTAGGTCAACATTCATTGCCCTGGCAAAGGTGATGATGAGCTGCCTTTTTGAACCGCTGCAGCCTACTTCTACAAAATTACATCTTCCCCACCCACCAAAAAGAAACTGTCAATATACAGTAATTTCCAGAAAGCTGCAATTCAGATTTTTAAGAACATGGAACTTTGTGGGTGCCCAACTCAATGAAGCCAAGACTGATAGAATTTTTCTATTCATTATGAGCACATTCTGACCTTGGATCGCTTCCTTGAGTGCCCATGGTTTTGTGTTCTTCGCTGCAATGAAACAGAAACCATGTTAGCAAATTAAGAAAATCTTGTTAGTTTCATCAATGATAAAAGCTCAGTTTCAAGAACTGTGTTTCTGCTCTCTACCCCAACTACTACCAAGATATTTTGTGGTATAACATTAGCAAGGTTTCAATGCGCATCCAAATAAATATCTGTGGGTCAGAATCATCGAGCCAGGTTTTCACCTTCAAACATCTGACAGACTGCCCTTGGCTGGAGCCTACTCATCCTGCCTGCAGGATGTAATGCAGAGCAAAAACAACATCTAATGAAGGAGATAAGAATATGTCAAAGATTAAATTTGTTTTGTATTTCAAAACGCATTCGATATTGAATGAAGTGCTATTCACCAAATTCAGGATTTGTTTATTACTGTTCCAAAAGTGGCACTAGCATACAGCTTTCACTTTGGGAAACTGTGCCAGTTTTCTAGAGAGATGGGTCACATTTCTGTTGTTATTTACATAATCATGAACATGAACATAAAAATCGACGAGTTTAACAGTTAACAGTACATTCAGTTTAGGATATCTGGATGGCATGGATGGTTGGACTGAAGGTTCTGTTTCTGTCCTGTACATCTCTAGTACCATAATCCAGCACAATAAAGTAATATTATAGTATACAATTGGTGGTTCTCCCTCACTTGAGCTTAAAAAGCATTCCATGATCTATTCAAGAAGGGTAATGTGGCACTGTTTCATTAATATAGTTGAAAATGGGTTCAATCATAAAAAAAGTATTTAATCCATGTTCCCAGTCCGCCATCTGTGAGTAACTTGATTTTATGTAACTGAAGATTACTTTTAAACTAGTAAATAGCTTTTTTTTCAGTAAGTATACATTGGTTAGTTTATTAAATATTCAAGAATATTTAAAACGAGACTAGAAGTGTTTTCACATCTGAAGCAAACAGCTTCATTTTAAGAGCTTTCTTATAAAAGCTGCATTGGGTGCAATTAACAGAAACTGATCGATGATTAATACAATCTGAGAACAGAGAGTTTTGTGGCATGCAAGTTTCTGATACAAATATTTTTAAATACTACAGAAACTTGACTTCTACTATATGTAATTTAGACTTGAAATTAGGAGAAACTGTTCCCATTGGTGGAAAGTGAAGCAGAAGAAGAAATGGCGACATGAGGAGAAACCTTTTTATGCAGCAGGTGGTAAGCGTCTGGAATGTACTTACTGAAAGGGAGGTCCAATTGAGGTTTTCAAGATGGAATTGGATCATTAACTGAAAAGAAATATTGGCAGGTCTGCAGGGAAAAGACGGAAGGTGGCACTAGGTGAATTGCTCCTTGAGAGACCCAGCACAGACACAGTGGACCAAATGACTTCCTTCTATACTATAATCAATGATTCTCTGATCTTCTACGTTGACTTGGCTAAAAACAGGTGCAACTTAGCAGAAACTTTAACCCTGCATCACCAAACCCAGCTTCAAATGGACAATGCAAGGTAGAAAAACATTCAAGGATTGAAATGAGTGCTGTGGAATAAATAACAATTGTAACTTTTGCACTCAGAACTCATGGTCAACAACAAGAACTCCAAGGTCACACATGCCACGGATTAGGTGCAGTGTAATCCTCACTCCATTCTACTGCCACAACATGACTACAACAGTGAATTTATTTCTTATTTGTCATACCAACCGTCCTTGAAGCATCTCAGATTAAGAATGACAATTTTACACTGACATTCTTTACTATTGGTCCATTGTTAGTAGTCCCTTTTAAGCCAACTCAAACTCACTTCACGAACAGTCCTACAGCCAACAGGCACAAAGGTATTTGCCCATTAGTACAAGCCCTGCCCCAGAGGGGAAATGACAACATTAACTCTCTGCACCATCAGAATATTTTTCTGACTCCATCTGGTCACCCAGGGACAGAAGTATTCACAAGGGCCATTAAAGTACACATTATGAAAACCACAAAAAGAATTTTTATCAAAGTAGCTTAAGGGAGTAGGACAGACACAAATGATTATTTCACTTAGCCCCAAGCTTCTCACCTGGAAATCCAGCTGCGCATTTGGGTCTTCACCATCTTTTTCCACCTCCTCTTTGCTGGACGTTCTGAATGCAGATTTATTTTTAATTAAAGATTCCTCCACCAATTTCTTCTCAGATTCCTTCATGATTTCCAAAGTTTCTTGAGTGTTATTACTATTGGACATCTTCAGAATGTGAAAAAAGTGTGTGCCAGACAGCAAAAACCTGAAATGGATACCCAAAAATGTTTATTGGAATGATGCAAACGTCAAGATTAAGTTGATGATTTGACTATTGCAAAGCATGGTTATTTAAAAATACTCACATTTTCTTTTACAATAAATTAAATCAGTAGGCAACAGCCATCACTGATTAATAACTAGTCAGTTTTCCTTTAGGACATACGTACATCAACATAATTTTAAAAAACAATTTTAAACTGAGCTGCATAATACATCGCTGTTAGCTGAGTGGTACTACTCGTCTCCAAATCAGAATGGCACAGATTGAACCTCCATTTCAGAGATATGAATAACATTCATACATTTTGTAAAGGCTTATGGAACAGTAGTTTACAATTATCAGTGCACTCTTTTCAGTGAAGTCGTGACAAAGGTTTGGGGGTTCTTTTCAACCAGGATAACATAAGATTGGATGTGGAGTTAGTACAAATGCCAGAGAATAAAAGAATAGATACCACGTTTCTCGCACTAAAGCATGACAGCATTAGAAGCAGATAAACCATCGTGCAGTTGGAATAGGTATCTCTGATGGGAGTTACAGGATATAACAAAAGTCAGACTGCTGGAATTGGCAAATCAATTAGAGGTGGAATTTGCTGCCAGCAATAATTGAAATATTGGCAAAGCATCTGGGACTGATGAAAATGCAGGGTGGCTAGGTACAAAAAGTAGTGAGTCATTAGAGTTAGCAGGGATTCAATTACAGCTAGAATACAAGATAAAAAATACAGCTCAAAATAGAAAGGGAAAGAGCTTTGGAATCAAAAAGAATGGAAAAGAAAATTAAAAAGCAAAAGTTGGAGATAAGACAACTTTAAGTTGAATTTCCGAGAGAAAGGGATACAGAGGAGAGAAATAGGGAGTACTGGCTTAAAAGGATGCCATTTAAAAAAACTTCAAATGCCGAAACAAGTGGTGATGGGAAAATTTTTAGTCATAATTGAAATTTTCTGGAGGGAAATGCTTAAGTTCGTACAGGCGCTGCCAAAGTGTGAGGAAAAGGATGGGAAGGCATTGTTTATGCTTTTCAGAAAACAGCAGAACAAATGAAGTGGCCAAAGCATGACTGGGCATTATACATGCAAAGCAAGTTGAAAGGCAGAGCACATGAAATTTATGCATTGTTGTCAGAAAAGGATTCTAAGGGTTATGATATAGTAAAAAGGGCAGTTCTGGGTGAGTATGAGTTAGTTCCTGAGCCATGCAGGCAACGGTTCAGAAATTTATGGAAGCAGCCTTGGAAATCTACATTGAATTTAAAAGGGTAAGGTAATTTTGACAGGTTGGGACGGGGGGAGAAATACAGGCATTGAGAGTAAATACTGTATACGAAGTTCTCAGAGAAATCATTCTCTTGGAGTAATTTGAAAACTCACTACCTTTTGTAATTAGAACCCACATTGAAAACCAGAGGGTTGCAACAGCTGGCTAACAATTAAGGCCTGATCCATAAAACTAAGTATTTTTTTCCATCACCCATAAACTTGATGAGGATTGAGGATGGGAAAGTGAAAGGAAGACAAGTAACAAGGGTAAAATGAAGGTCAGCTTGGAATGCCCAACGATCCCCTGCTCAGATGAGAAAGGAAGATGTTGACGCCAAAAAATATAAGTTGAAGGCCTATGTGTGTCCATTGTAAGAAAACGAGGTGCCTTCTTTCAGAATTGTGGAAACCCATGGGACTTCATCAGGTTCACAAGAGTGCACCCGTGAAAGGAACTCAAAGGAAAATACCATGGATCTTATTGTTGCTTTAACTACAACAGTGGTCTTGGAGGTAAACACTCCTGTGCAGCTGAAGTGAATATGCTCAATGAGAGATATAAAGGGTTTTTGTAAAAAGAAACAAGAACCCTTTTCTCTTCAAATGACGCTGTTAAACTCATAACTATATTAAGATACACAGGAGCTGCTCAAATTCCTTTACTTTAGTTTTCCCCCTACAGGCTGAAATTAAAGCCAAAAACGTGTTAATAAATGGGCTAAGTGAAGAGTATATATACAGTAAAATTAGAATATGACTTGCTGTCTGGAACAATGATAGTAGGAGTTGTTAAGAAATTACCTGTGAATGGAGTTGATTTGCTTCTAGCAAACGATTTGGCTGGAGTAAAATTATACCTTCACCCATAATCACAGAAAGCCCGAATGAGGTTAAAGAGGCAGAACAGTTACAGGTACGAGGTCCAGGTATTTTTCCATCATTTGTAGTGACCAAAGCAATGGCGAGACAAAGTTCATCTCCAGAGGTCACAGCAATACCACAAGCAGATGTTTGAGCAGCTGAAAACTTCTTTAAGGATGTGGATGATTCAAAAAAAAGCATTTGACATGTCTTCACAAATCGAGACTCAGATCTAGAGTTAAATAAGTCGGGACAGACAGCTCCTACTGTCGCTGAGGATAAAGGAGCTCTGGAGTGTTAGTATATTAAAAGTAGGGTTCTGATCAGGAAGTGGAGACACCCTCAGAGACTTATTGAAGAAGAATGGATGATTGCTCCATAAGATAGTTGTACCGCTCAAATATCATAAGGAAACATGTAAAACATGCCATAATGTCAGGTAGTAGGAAACCTCAACTATTTTTTTTAATTATTCACCCGTGGGAGGTGGGTATCTCTGGCTTGCCGATATTTAATGCTTGTTCCTAGCTGCCTTTGAGGCGATGGTGAGCTGCCTTCTTCAACCACTGCAGTCCACATGCTGTATGTTGACCCTTAATGTCCTTAGGAAGGGAATTCCAGGATTTTGATCCAGTGACAATGAAGGAAGGGCAATATATTTCCAAGTCAGGATGGCGAGTGGCTTGGAGGGGAACTTGCAGGTGATGGTGTTCTCATGAACCTGCTGCCCTTGTCCTTCTAGATGGAAGTGGTCATGGATTTGGAAGGTGCTGTCTAAGGATCTTTGGTGAATTTCTGCAGTGCATCTTGTAGTTAATACAGACTGCTACTATTGAGCGTTGGTGGTAGAGGGAGTGGATGCTTGTGGATGTGGTGCTAATCAAGTGGGGGCTGCTTTGTCCTGGATGGTGTCAAACTTCTTGAGTGTTGTTAAAGCTGCACCAATCCAGGCAATTGGGGAGTAATCAAACTGGCACCTCCAACACCACACCAGTTTTTGAAGAACCATTCATTTAAAAGTTGATAGATTGTGTAGAACCTTTACCGAAAATTGGAAACACCAAGATATCCTTACAGTTATGGATATGACAACCCAATCTCCAGAAGCTATTCCTTTAAGGATAATTACAGCTAAAGTATTGGTGGAAAAATTAACTCAGTTTTTTTTAAACTCATTACGGACTACCAATTGAAATACAATCAATCAGACCTCGTTTCTAATTTTGTCTAAAATTTTTCAAGGCATAATAATCAATTTGAATATAAAACAGTTGAAGTCCACTGCCTATCTTCTGCAAACACAGGGAACTTTGGAGAGATACCATCAGATTCTCAAAACAATGATTAAGACCTATTGTCACGAGTATCCACAGGATTGGGACAAAGGATTAGATTTCTTACTCTTTGCAACCAGAGATTCCCCAAACAAATCTACTGGTTTAGCCCATTCAAACTGATATGGTAATGAGATAAGAGTTCCGGTAAAATTGATCAAGAAGTTCTTAAGGCAAAAAGACAATCCTGATGTTGGATTAGATGCCCATGTTTCTAGAGAGACTCATAGGAGCATGAAAAGTAGTACAAGACTACAAGATTCAGTTGCCCATATAAAGGCAGTCAAGAGGGTTAATAAAGTGTTTACAACAAAAGCAAAAGTAAAGTGTTTATCGAGTTGATACTCCTGATCTCAAGGTGAAAAAAAAATCATTTATGTGATGTTAACACATTAAAGCAATATCACCATAGGGAGGAAGATAAGAAAGAACAAGTGTGTCAAGAGGCAGGGGGCAGTGGAGGATGACAGAGACACTGGACTGAGGTAGGAGGGATAGACAGTTCACAGTGCGAACCTCTTAAAATTCAACGAGCCAATATAAAAATCCTGGGACAGTTAAAGAATGTATTTTTGCACTTCGAGGAAGGACAGCAGGAAGAACTGGTAGGGCTACTTAGGAAGTTGAAGGAAATCTATAGAGATACACCTGGAGGTACAATACCATCCAGACATGATGCAGACGTAGGAGAATCAGTAATAATAAAACAACATCCTTATTCCATAAGCCCAGAAAATAAAAGTGCACGTGGAAACAGATTCAATGCATGCTAGAAAACCACTTGACTGAACCTCTACAAAGCTGTTGGAATTTACCAGTGATGTTCATTGATAAACCAGATGGGTTGACTAGATTCTGCAAATGCAGTAAGTAAACAGATTCATACCTAACTCCTTGGTTAGAACACTGCATTGATAGAAAGAAATGAAGCACTGTGAACCCTAAGGTTGAAAAGGAACTGGCAATTACCCTTAACATCAAAAGCTAAGGAGATGTCAGTCTTTGTTACATCAAATGGGTTATACCAATATAAAGTGATGCTATTTGGGTGCAAAAATGCCTCAGTTACATTCCAAAAACCCATAAATCAACTGCATCACTGTGTAGTTGATTTAAACGATGTTGTAATGTACAGTAACCCCTGGTAAGAACATGTAAAGCAACTAGAATATCGATTTAAACAAGTATAGTAACTATAACAAATCTTGGCAAGACTAAATTTGCAAAAGCAATGGTAGCTTATCCAGCATATATCATAGCGTAAGCATGAATGTGTGGGTTTAATTGGAAATTTGTGCCTAACTTTAGCACACTAGCTGTAACTTTAAAAGATTTATTATGAAAACAGGCAAAGGAGGGTTGGTCAGCAGAGAGTCAAAGCAGAGTTTGAGAAGCTGACAGCAATCCTAATAAATGAACCAGTGTTGGCCACCCCTGACTTTACCAAAGCTTTTAAAATGGCAATTGATGCTAGTGACTTGGGAGTAGGTGCCGTTTTATTATATGATGATGTGTTGGGAAAA